GAATACAATCTTCTGTTTTTGGCCTGTTTCTAGTAAGTCTATTTTATGACAAACAAATCTCAATACTTTAACTAACAGAATTTTATTATATATTATTGTAGAATTACAGTATTTAACACAATGATAATATTATATGACAATTAGAGATATACAAATATATTATATCTCGTGCAATATCATATAATATGCGAAATATATGCTACCGCGAGAGGCACATCTCTAATTATAATCTTTAGATACAATAGCATTATGGTATTTTGATATTACAGCATTACGGTATTATGGCATTATGGCATTGCGACATTACGGCATTATGGCATTGTGGCATTACGGCACAAAATAATTGTGGCAAAAATTATGGAAATGCTGTTGCCGTATTAATTTGCCAAATTAAATTCTACCACCAACTATACCAAGAATCGCACATTCACGTATTGGTATGAATACTAATAAAGGTTTATTGTTGATTTTTTTTGTTAATCTTTCTTAGTATTGTTTCGGGTACTACAAAATTCACAAGGATTTTTTTATCCAATTAGATGCTAAGAATTGTACACACCACATTTCTTGCCTGTGGACTAACAAAAATGGTAAGTGGCTCATTATGAAAGAAAAAAATCAAAAAATGCTCAAGTTAGATATACATACAAAAACAGGTAAATTTAATACTCAAATTAGAAAAAAATTGAGATATAGCCTGCTACATATATATAACTCCATACTCAAATTAGGGAAAATCCCATACGCAATTTCTAATTATACATATATGTATAATGCAGACTTATGACATCACTTAGCTATGGCTTATATAAATAAAATACGTAACTAGCAATATAATAAGTATGCATCTATAATAAATATAGAAAAAAATTTTCGCTCAAATCTTTGATGATCAGTGATTATTATTTCATCAACCCAATAAAAAATTTTATGAAAAAAAATGGAAAATCCAAAAAATCTAATGAACATATGCAAAAATTCACATTGGGCCACCAGTATTTATGCAAATAAATCAAGCTTTTACTATCATTTATTATAATATTTGTGAATTAATATGGTCCTGGGTTTTATTTTTATTCGTCATACTGTACACATGAAGGGTACGTAGTACTGGTCAAATTAAATATTGAGACAGTATTTTAGACAATATATGCTCACGTGTACAAGCACACATATATAAGGTGTAAAAAATGGGTGCGAAAAATAGATAACACATAACAATATGTGACGAACAGAGTCACGTGAACCAATCAAGTACTGAGAATTGTACATGCATATTAACTTGCCCGTAAACCATATACTACATTGTACATTGTACAAACTCCGTTCCTGGTATAAGAAATCCAAATCTGCTTTCAAAAATTCTTGGCTTAATGAGTTTAGATAGCTTCAATTTGACAAAATCTCTCAATAGATATTTTGTAAATATTGTAAATATTACAATAAATCAAATGTTTTTAGAAGTACAGGGTTTGTAAATTTTGGTCAAAAAAGTTTTATTAAAGAACACGCATCTTCGGAGCAACATAAAGATGCAATAAGACTTGATGCTGTTAAAAAAACAGTTAATAAAGAATTGGAACAACCTACAGAACAAAATAAAAATCATATAATTGGAATTGCAAAAATTGTATATACTCTTGTACAACAAGATATACTACTAGCTAAACTTCTATATATGGTTTAATTATCTTGTGAATTAGAGTCTTTATTTATTATAGATGGTGTTATTACTTATGAAAATAAATATCTGGTCATGAATTCATATTGGCTATATCTAATGCAATTAAGGCTAAAATATAGAAAAAACTTAGTGAAGCTGTATTTTCTGGAATTATGATCGATAAAAGTACAGTTATTGCTATGAATAAGCATATTGATATATATGTAATATATCCAAATATTTCTGAAAATATAAATATTTTTTACAATTATTAGCACTTGATCAAAGCAGTATAGTAATAATAATTACTAAATTAATTTAGCTATTTCAAAGTTATGATATTATTGATAAATTAGTAGCTTTTGCTTCAGATGGTGTATCTGTAATGATTGGATGTAAAAATGGTATTGCGTAAAAATTATTATAAATTTGTCTGTATATTGTCTACAATTATTGTATAGCATATCATTTAGCATTAGCTTGTAAAGATTTACAAAAGCAAATTAATTATTTCAATAATGCTAAAACTATTATAAGAAACATATACAAATATTATAAAAATTCTGCAAAATGAGTTCATATTCTTCAAGAATATCAATAAATTCTTGATTGTCCTAAGCTATGTTTAAAAAATTAAAGATATACAATAGCTTGGCTAGTATGATATTTTTAAAAATTTTGTTAAAATATTACTAGCTGTTTTTTACAACTTCAATATAACAATAATAAGGTAGCTAATAACTTGTATCAATAATTATATAGCTGGTGATTATTGGAATTTTTTATTTTATTTTTGATATTTTAGAATATTTGGTATTGTTAAATAAATTTTTTCAAAAGAATAATCTTTATTTTTGAGATATTATTTCTATAATTGATGCTACAACTACAATTATTCAAAAAAATTATCTTGTAGATACTTTAGATATTTGAAATCATTATTTGACTATAATTTTTATCTTTTTATCGATCATAAACATAAAAATATTTTAAATTTATTACCTTACTAATGTTCTAACAATATATATTTAAATAATTGCAAAGGATAATTCTAGGCATCTCTGGCCAGATATGTTTAGCTTATATATCTCTGACCCGAAGTTATGCCTGATCATATAATTTAATTAGAGTTAAGGTTATATAGAGTCAGGATAAAGACAAGTTATATAAGCAAAATTGCCTTCCCAACATTTTTAATTAGTATTATGAAATAGGTTTAAATAGCCAATTTTGATATTTTCACATTCTTTACTTTTTTGCGCTTTTTGTTGTTGTTTTGTTCTGTCAGACTGATTCGTGATAATCATTCTTTGTGCTATACAAAAATAGCTATCACGTGATTATTTTGCATTTTAATTAGCTTTTAGGTCTTAAATATTATTATTAGACATCTCTGGCCAGAGATGTCTAGAAATACCCAATTGCAAATTATTAATATAAAAAATTTTTTTTATATAAAGACAAAAAATTGAGCTTTTGTTCTATTATTCTATTTGCTAACACTGTTTATCATATGTCTAATAATTTGTATATACGTTTATATATTATTAAAGATCTAAAATCTAGTAAATATTATTTTATACAATATCTAATAGCTATTCAATATCAGGATTTTTAGATGTTAGAGCTTGTTATTAAAGACAGGCTTTATACAAATATTAGCTACCTGATACAATAGTATCAGAGTAGCATTTTTTCTCAAATTGAATACAGAGTCTAATTAATTATCATGATTTATTGCTTTATAAATAGGGTATATTATGCAAATATTTATAGCAAAATGATATGATTTTAATTGTATTGTATAGTATTTTTGATAATAATTGTGAGAGTTTAACAGTATATTAATTGTATAATTTTTTTAATCTGGTGATCGTTAGTATTAGTTATAGTAGTGATGAAATTACATCATTAGGATTTTAAAGTAACAATATAATTATATAGTTTTTTGATTTGTAATCATTAGATATACTTAAAGAGAATAGGTTTTTTTCTTAGACAAGATAATTTTTGTTTTTTTGCTAATCTAACTTTAACTTTGGTTTTTTCATACAAATTTTTACATATACAATTTTTTACATACTCTTTTTTTCAAACTCTTCTTACATATAGTTAGTTATTGTTTACTAGAACTAGAGAAAAAAATAAAAAATAAAAATAAATATAATAATAATAATAAAGCACTTTTGTATTATCTGGTTTTTCATTGAGCATAAGTTATCAGTTTATATTAACTTCTTATATAATAATTATAAACAAATATATTACTACATTATAAACAAATTTTCTTTTGTTACCTGTTTGATATTTTTATACAAAAGTAAAATTACTTGACTAGAATCAATATTGCTATAAACAAGAAGCCAAAGCCTACTACTATATTAAATAATTTGGTAACTTCTGATATAATCTAAATGAATTTAGAGTTAAAACTTAATTAATTGTTAGTTAAAGTATTGAGATTTGTTTGTCATAAAATAGACTTACTAGAAACAGGCCAAAAACAGAAGATTGTATTC